CCCCAAAACCCCAAAACCCCAGGCCTCACAATAATCAATTTAATTAAGAGTATTATTTAGGAGAAATAAAAATAATAATCAGATTTTAAGTTCCATCATTTTAGGGCAGTTATCATAAATGATTTTAACCTATTCTTTAAGCATGTCTTCTATTCCAATTTATCTGACAGTATTTGAGTCTTACATGAATAGATATTGGAGATTCTAACAGTTCTTAATGACACATTCAACCATCTGCTTTAACTTGATATCGTTTCTCAAGTACCACAATTTACTATGAGTTATGTCAAGATACTAGAGAACAGGATGTTTACCACAAGCCTCTAAAATCAAAGAAAGACCTGCAGTGAAATCAATTTCACAAAACTATAAATCTAATCTCTAAATGCTTTTATTTTCAGATAAGAATTTAATCACTCCTACTTCCATCGTTCTTACATTCAACTGACTTTAGTTAAGCTTAAGAACTTTTAAATTAACCTGTTTTTCAGTAAGAGCTATTAGCAATTGGCAGAGTAAATCATTAGTCTCAAAAGTACATTACTGCATGCTTAATGATTGGAGATTTATAGTATTGGTAATACTATCTATAATATTTGAGAATTAATCACCTAAGAGACTAAAATTATATATCTCAAAGTTAGTTAGATTTTTTAGCATGCCAATAAGTTCAGCCATATAATTGCTGTGGACAAAGTATTTAGATTTCGCCTTAATACTTGCTTTTATTGATAAAGTCTCCAGTGTCATATTTTAATTACCAGCGAAAAATGTATCTTTATCTAAACTTTTAATATCTGTTCTTAGTAACTCAAAGAATAAATGCTTTAATGTGTTATTTTCAGCTAGCCCAATCATAAATTCGAATCTATCAAAAACTTTGATCTTTTTTATCATTAAAACTTCTACACTCTTGTTTCTTTAGAAGAAAAGTTAGAGAGGTTTATAATCATCTTTAATAGGATAATTGATTTCCAATTCCTTCAATTTCAAACAGGAAGATAGTTCCTGTAATATATCGAAAATCATTTCTTTCTCAATGTTTATGATTGAAAGTTTTTTGAGGTTTTCAAAATATTTTACACTCAATTACGATGAAGCTAAAAGATCTCCATTAGACTCAAGTACTTCAATGTTTGGGAGATACTCGAAAATACTTAGATCTGTCTTCCCAAAAGATATTCTTAGTTTCTTAAGTTTTGAGAATTATTTAAATAATTCCAAATTTTCTCCTAATTCATTTTAAGTGCTTGATAATCCAATATCTAAGTCTTCAATTTCCTCCAGATTCTAAGCAGCTTCTCAGAGAGTTGATAAGCTACTTGCATTATTACAATTGATAGTTAGTTTCTTAAGTTGACTTAAACCTAATAAGATAGTAATACATGTTTGTTCAAACATTTTAATATCCTCATCAAAGAATGCTTAAATCAAGTTTAACTCTTGCAATTCATGAAGCTTTGTGACTTATACAATAAGTTTTATGAATTCCTTATTGAAATCAATTGTCATTGATTAGATATTTTGATACTTCTCAAAATTTTCGCATAAATACTCTAACACTTCATATGTCTTATACAATCTATTTAAAATTAATCCTTTTGTTTTCTTCAAAAGATGATGAAGAGTTTCCAGATTTTAATCATCTTAGGTTTTATCAGTTCCTGTTTTAAGTTTAAAGTATTAGTTGCCAAACTAAACTTTATTAAAGCCTAAACTCTGTGTTGCGAATTCCCTTATTTTAAACAAATCTTCTTTTAATTAGATAAAAGTCAATAAGTCAACAATTCTGTGAGTTTGAGGTCTTTGAAATTATGCCATATTTAAACTAAATACTACTTCTCTTTTTATAGGGCACAAGCAAAAGCTTTATAGTTATCTGATATTTTTCTCTACAAAGTTATTTCCATTCTTACAGAGTTATCTCATTATGACTATTCCTTCATTTAAGTAAAATGCTTGAGAGAAGATCTATGTTGTCAAGTAACTGCTCTTTATTTTTGGAATAATGTGGTATTAGATTGATTAAGATTTTTCCATTTTAACTTCAAATTTTTAAATAAGCCGCCTTTTAATTATCAATTTTATTGTATTTTTTGCCAGTTTTAAAAATTATCTGTCAAAATCTAATTGAACTTATGGGGTTTTGGGGTTTTGGGGTTTTGAGCATTGGGT